TTTTTTTTTTTTTTTTTTCAGAGTTACACTCTTAACCCCATATAATTTTTTGTTGTTGTTGAGCCAGGGTCTCACTATGTAGTTTAGGCTGGTTTGAACTCACTGTGTAGCCCTGGCTAGACTCAAAGTCACAACAACCCTCCTGTGCCAGCGTCTGGAGTGTTGAGGTTACTTATAGGCATGTGGCACCACGCCTGGCTAACCTCATATACTTTTTAAAACTGATGATGGGTATTGGCTTTTGAAAAATGCACTTTTAGGGCCCAGCGGTATAGCTCAGTGGACTAAGTGCTTGCTTAGGTAAGCTCAGGGGCCAAGGTTGGATCCCTGGAGCATGCTGAGCCAGGATGGAATCTGAGTGTGGTGGTGTGCGCTGTAATCCCAGCATCTGGGAGGCAGAAATCAGGTGGATCACTACGAGTCTGCGCTGTGTAGTGAGACCCTATACACACACACATACACACACACAAAAACCTAAAAAAAAAAAAAATGCACTTTTAGTCCTTATTGAGATAATCTCATGGTATACCTAATAGGTTCTATTATAAACTGTATTTTATCTTTAGACAGATATTTGTTTTATTTTTTCCAGGACTAGAAACCTAATCCAGCCCAGGACTGGGGATCTACCACTGAGTTATAACCTAATCCCCTAAAAAAAAAATTATTATTATTATTTTTTTTTTTTTGCAGAACCGGGGATTGAACTCAGGTCCTTTAGCTTGCCAGGCAAGTGCTTATACCACTGAGCTATCTCCCTGGTCCCCCCTTTTTTTTAAATTTAAGATTTTTAAAAAAATTATTTTTAGGGAAGGGTCTACAGGGTGTTTAGGGTCCCACTACTAGATCAGACTCATAGTGATCTGTCTGTTTATAGCCTCCCAAGTGCTGGGATTACAGGCACATGCCACCATGCCCAGTCTCAACTACCATGTCAGTGAGCCCTGGGTGCGGGGCCGGCACGGCAGGCCCAGGGATCAAACCCTGGCACCTGTGCCTGCTTGCAGGCCTTTTAATCTGTTGAGCTATTTGGCTGGCCCTCACCTTTTTTTAAAAAAAAAAATCTTTTATTTATTTATCTATTTTGGTACAGGGTCTCCTGTATGAAGCTTGGATTTGTAGTGATTCTCCTGTCTCAGCCTCCCCAGTGCTGGGATTACAGGCGTGTGCCACCACACCTGGTTTCCGTGGCATGTAGTACTTGGGAAAGAACCCGGGTCTTTGTGCTTGCCAGGCAGGTGCTTAGACCATACATGGTAAAAATCAAACATGATACAAGGAGCATAAAAAAAACACCTAATCTGCATAAAAAAAACTAATCTGCCATTCCCATCACCAAGTTTCCTTCTTCAGATGCAACCACATTACCTGTAGGGACTATGTAAATTAGTAGATCTGTGTCCTGTCTTCACTCAATATTTTAGGAACCATCCCATATCAATACGTGGAGATCTCTCTCTCATTCTTTGGATCAGCAGCAAGGCATTCCATTGAGGACTAAGTCATCATTTCATTAACTCACTCTTTGCTACATCAGCCTCCAGTCTTTAGTAACCACAAAGGAAGCTTTAGCAAACACTGTAGTACACAGATCTTTGTGCTTAAACAAAGACTACATAGGATAAATTCCCAGCAGTGGTATTTCTCTCTCTCTCTCTTTTTTTTTGGGGGGGGGGACTGGGGATTGAACTCAGGCCTTTGCGCTTGCCAGGGAAGCACTTATTCCACTGAGCCATCTCCCCAGCCCACAGCAGCGGTATCTCTAGGTCAAAAAGTTATGTGTTTAAGGTTTAATAGCTGCTCCTGAATTGTTCTCCAAGACAATGAACAAGAACATCTTTCCCCACAATGTGTAGTATCTCATCTGACATCTAAACAAAGTTCCACTCGAATTATAATTTGCAGTTTTTCTATTTTGAGATGGTCAAGTGTCTACATTTGCCTAAAAGCCACTTCTATTACTTTCATTCATTCATTTATTTATTTGCATTTTAGGGAAGGGTCTACAGGGTGTTTAGAGTCTCACTACTATTGTAGTGATCTGCCTGTTTACAGCCTCCCAAGAGCTCGGATTACAAGTATACATCACTATGCCCTAAAAATCAGTATTTAACAACAATTTTTTTTTTTTTTTTCAGTATCAGGGATCGAATTCAGGACCTTGCGCATGCCAGGCAGGCTCTTATGCCACTGAGCCATCTTTTTTTTTTTTTTTTTTTTTTTTTTATTGGTAGTTCTGTAATTTTATTTCCAAGTTAGTTCTCATCCACATTCACTGTCTGGAGATTTTTGAACGTGGTAACAGGTACATAGGTTACCAAGGTATACAGCTTGTTTGGTGAATCTTCATCCTCATTCCGTTTCCTGGACAACTGTACTCGGATACGATATGGAACATTACTTATTCCTTTGGCCCAGACAGCTTTGTTGAGCCTGGTGTCAATGTGCACATCGGGAGTCCCCATTTCCTTCATGGCAAACTTCCGGATCTCCTTAAGTGCCAGAGGGGCGCGCTTCTTGAAGCCCACTCTGTGGATGCGCTTGTGAATGTTGATTGTGTACTCTTGGGTCACCACCTCGTTGATGGCAGAATGGCCCTTCTTCTTCTCGCCACCCTTCTTTGCAGGAGCCATTCTGCTGGGCCCAAGTTGGAAAGGAAGAGCGCGGTCGATTGTGGGGCGCCACTGAGCCATCTTCCAGGCCCTAACAACAACTTTTTTTTAAAATATGCTCAAGATCCTCAGAAATAGCTGGGGAGAGAGCTCAGCAGCTTAAATGCCTGCCTGGCAAGCACAAGGTCCTGAGTTCAATCCCTGGGGGGAAAAAATCCTCAGAGATAGAAGCCTCCCTCAGCCAGGTGTTCAAGATCATCCAGCTCATAACCACCGCCTTCAAGTTCCATCTTCCATGCTTGCCTGGCAAGCACAAGGGCCTGAATTGAATCCCCTGTTCCGCCAAAAAAAAAAAAAAAAAAGTTCTACCTTCCAGCATTCAGAAGGCTGAGGCAGGAAGATTGGGAAGATTGTTGCAAATTCAAGATCAGCGTGGGTTGCATAGTGCTTTTTTTTTTTTTTTGCGGAACCAAGGATTAAATTTAGGCTCTTGCACTTGCCAGGCAAATGCTTATTCTACTGAGCCTTCTCCCGGCCCTGCATAGTGCTTTTAAGGCCAGCCTGAACTACATTTTGAGGACCTGACTCAAAACCAAAACCCCATACCAAAACAAAACCAGCCAGCCAGACAACACATCCTTCACGAAGACCCATGTCTGTTCCCATAGGATCCAGTCCACTCCCACTCCTCGGAAAGCTTCTTCCCTTCCAACCTGCACCCTGCATACAGCCTCACTTTGTCTCTGCACTAAACCTCCTCCCACCACCTCATGCCCGGCGTCAGGCAAGGCTGTTCGTGAGCCCTGTACAGAGCTAGCTTCCTGCTCCGCGCCCTTGCCCAGTGCCTGAGGGTGTCCGAGGGCGGTTTTTCATTCATTCACACCGTTTATTGGATATACACACGAGTCAGGTGCTCTTCCAGGCACTGAGGCTAAGGCAGTGTGTTGAGGAAGAACAAGACCTTTCTTCCCATTGGCTATTTTAAGAGGTGTGTGTGTGTGTGTGTGTGTGTGTGTACACCAATATACAACAGGACAAAAAATAAACACATATAAATGAGAATGTCATCCAAGCGGGAGGATCTCAAGTTGGAACCCAAGCGAGGGAACTTACCAAGACCCTATCCTAAAATATAAAGGGCCGGGGATGTAACTCGTTGGAAGGCTCTGGGGGTTCAATACCAGTATTGCAAGGGGAAAAAAATTCCCGAAAAAGTTGAAAGTAATACAGCCGAGAGCGGAGAGAACAGGAGAAGATGGGTCTCTTGCACACGGGGCCAGAGGCTGAGATGGGGGCGACGACCTGACTAGAAGGCGCCAGCCCCGCACGGAGCCTGCCGGTCGGTCGCTCTTCCAAAACCCAGCGAGCCCAGGCCTCAGCACCCAGTGTTCTGTTCCGTGGCGGGAGCTGCGAGTGCTCCGAGGTGTGAGCTGCGGCCAGTGCGTGGTGCTCAGCCCGGCAGTCACAGAGCACCCGCTGCGCCGAGGGGTCCGGGCAGCGCTCGCCGGGCTTTGCTCCTCTCCACTGCAGGCAGTGCATACTTCACCAACTTTATCCACAACGGAGCCATCGGGGGCTGAGAGGCGGCTGCGGTCCGCGTCT